TTTCCTAATCTTACTCAGTCTATGTAAGGGAAGTTTTTTCTTCCTCCTTTTCTTTTCATACCTGTTGTTTGCGTTGTATAAGTCGGGTTACGAAGTATCCCAACTGTTTTCGCCCTTTACTGTCATGAAATTTGTCTGTGCGGTCAGGTTTCTTTCCCTCGTCGCTCTTCTTTGTCTGCGCATATTCTTTACGTTATATTATTTTTTATGTTTGTAATGGTCTAATATCTCTTGATCGGATCTCATAACTTTTCCTTTTCTTTTTGAATTCGTAAGAAAAGACAAGCAACTAATCTTAAGCGAATATCACCTCGCCTATGTGGAAAGAAATTACTTGTTCTCGAGTCAGTCATATGTCATGTGGTCAGTTTGACAAGATTGTCTCACATAGAATAGTTGGATGGACACTCCTTGGCCCTCTGTCCAATTGCTCTCCAATAACATTCAACTAGTCGGACTAAATCTTCAAACGTAAAGCAATTGGACGGATACCCCGACCCTTTATCGAGTTATTCCACAAACCGTTCAAACTATCATTCAACCGTTACCTTGTAAGGGTATTAGCCCCGACAACATGTGTGCATGTGTGTGTGTGTGTGTGTGTGTGTGTGTGTGTGTGTGTGTGTGAGAGAGAGAGAGAGAGAGAGAGAGAGAGAGAGAGAGAGACCTGCAGCATGCACCACGTTAGTGGCCGGGAGCACAAGGGCAGGTGTTGACCTCCCAAAAAAAAAGAAAAGGTAATTTTATATTGGAATGCAAGAGTTTTTCCTTTTCGAAAGTTGAATAGAAAGGGTACACATTGGCTTTGAACACAATGCGCACATGTTCTATTCGAAGTGCTCTTCTATTTGAGAAAAGTAGACCCATACCGTTTCAATTTCGAAATGTCAAAACTCAAGGACCGTTGCCTCCTCGGCCTCCCACGTCGTTTCGATCATGAAATGTCCAACTCAAGGACCACAGCCTCCTCAACCTCCTACGGGCAGCTACTGATCCTTCGTATGCCCCGCCCCTTGCTAAGCACTCACCTCAAAATTGCCCACCCTCCCAAACGACCACTGACATTGAAAGTTGAATTGACGTTGCAGGTCTCAAGGACATAAAACGCAACCCTCACGGGCTACGAACACATCCTTTATGGACTGCGATCAGTCCCAAAGGCCCCCTTTAAAACATCAACTAGCTCAAAGCTAAGTCAGACTCTTACTGCTGTGTGTATAGTAAGAGCATACTGCTTCGGGTCTGGGTCAGTAGTGTCCCATGCTGGCCACTATGAAACGATACAGTTTGCAGCCCGTCAAGGTTGCGTTTTATGCCCTTGAGACCTTTAACGTCAATTCAACTTTCATCGTCCATGGACATTCGGAAGGGTGGACAATTTTGAGGTGAGGGCTTAGCAAGGGCCGGGGCATGCGAAGGACCTGTAGTTGCCCGTAGGAGGCTGAGGTCCTTGAGTTGCGTGGGAAGCAGAGGAGGCTGCGGTCCTTGAGTTCTGACATTTCGAAACCAAAACGGTGTAGGTCCACTTTTATAGAATAGAAAAACACTTCGAATAAAACATATGTGCATTGTGTTCGAATACAACGTGTACCTTTTTTACTCGACTTTTGAAAAGGAAAAACTGAGCCCTTACCAATCACAGATACCGCATCGTTGGCAGCAGCAACTTCGTGGGAGTGACATTAGAGGCACTAGCGCCAAGCGCTAACCAGCGCTGTGGACCGGCCGGTGAGGCTCGGCTGCACTCTGCAGACTAGGGCAGTGGCGGGGCTACCATAGCCGCCCCTGGTAATCTTTGTGCCCGCCTGGTCATCTCGATGAGGTGATGGTGGATTTACCACCTGGCATATTAGGAGACGACACGTGGGTGTGAGGCGTATACTTTTCGGTGATCTGACGGTGCGTTCTTTGAGTGCTTGACATAACAACTTCAATTGGTGATTTGCAGCAAGACGCGACTGAGTGGCTGTTGACCATTCAGGAAGGGAGTCGCTGTTTGTGAAATATCGTTGATGTTTTGACCTTAAGGCGAGGGGATTGGCTGGCGGCTGATGGTGGGGCAGTCACGCTTGTCCCTTGCCAGGAGGAGATGATGCAAAACATGTTGGGCGTCATCTGGGACTTGGAGGAGGGGTCGGCTCCTCAGCTGGATGCGTTCATTGATTGGTGACAAGCGGATACCCTGATGCGGCGTTGCTACAATATTTTCGACAAAGGGCGTGCTCTATGAGAAACTTTGGAGGCGAGGTTGCGCGTACAATCTGAAGGGCCCGACCAGTTGCTCAAAACAGGACAAGGCCAACCGCCGCTTGAGGAGGGTTACATGCAGGGAGGGCCTGAAGAACGGCAGCTTCTTCCAGCCTCTCCACAAATGGCGGCGGCTTATGATGGGTGGGTGATTGGTTGCCCACCAGTGATAACAGTGGAAACACCACAAACAACAACAACAACACTGAAGACTGGATCAAAGACAACAACAACGACGATAATAACATCAACGACGATAATAACATCAACGACAATGGCTACACCAACAACAACAACAGGAGAAATGATAATAACTACAACACTTGCAAGATCGGCATCAGCAACAACGACATTGGGAGGAAGGGCGGCTGCTTCGATGACACTTATGGTGCTTGCGGATTTGCGTCGCCATGGCACACGAGTTTTGCCGCGGGTGGGGGTGGGGAAGGGGGGGACTGGATTCTGTCTGTCAAGGGTTAGCAGGTTCCCTAACCTTAATTGCTGCTCGATCACATGAGTGATTCTTTTTGACAATTGTGTTCTATTGATTGAGCAAGAGTACCTAGCTTGGGGTTGAATAGGGTTTCTGGTGTTGTTGATTGCTGATTGGGATGGCAGGAGGTCAATCCTTCCCTGTGTGTTGGGAAGTAATCAATGCCTCCTGCAGCCTGCTGCTTCTAGCAGGTGCTGCTCCCCACCAATAGATTGAGCCTTCGAGTTCCCAACACAATATATCGTTTTCTTTTTTTTTGGGAGGTCAGCGCCTGCCCTTTGTGCTCCCCGCCACTGACATGGTGCATGCTGCAGGTCTCTCTCTCTCTCTCTCACACACACACACACACACACACACACACACACACACACACACACACACACACACATTCTCCCCTCTGCTGGTGTGGAGCGGCACCTGCTGGAAACTGGGTGCAGCGTCCATCGTGAATAAAGCACCAGCCGCGACCCCACCCACACACACTCTTCGAGTTGAGTATAGCGAACATGACAAAACATACACACAGCATAATCACTACCTTACCTTTCCCCAACCACATCAACGAAACCCCTGTCCTCAGGATAAGTCAATTGGAGGCTCGCCAGCCTCGGAATGTAGCTGTGTACAAATAGGCTCGGCTGGACTGGCGATTTAAATCTTTTTGATAAAACAGGCGGGTCAAGGCATTTGGATGGGAGCTGCCACACACTTAATCTGACGGAAGAGAACTCTCGCATGATATTGAAG